TTTCGAGTTTTAACTATGCTCAGTAGATTTGTGATATTTTCCCGGGTTTATTGAATAAAGGGTGAAATTTTCCTAATTGCGCACCAAATCTTAAAAATAAAAACATTTTCCCGATACTTTAGTTTTCGTTTTCGTGCAAACCAGTCTTTGAAAGGGGAATTCTTGTTTTTACCATCATATTCAAAAACAATGGCCCTGTACCGTGAAATCCACCATCTAACCTATGACAATGAAAGATGTGACATCTAACCGCGGTCAAGTATGAAGGCATCAAACACACAAAGCAAAAGCCAATCGCAAGCTAAACGCGATGGAGCGCCATCTAGCCGAAGCTCCTCAACTCTCAGTCTAGTTGTGAAGCGTGGTAGGGAAGACTGTATGACAAGTATACCATCTTCTGCGGCAGCGTCTAATCATTATGAGTCAACGTCTACAGAATTGACTAACCCAAACCCCGGTCATGGTATTAACTTCGAGGGTTGTAAAGCCGGCGTGGAGAAATCTAAAGCTGATCACGCAAGTCGTGTTGAGACTACTATTTCGGGCCACGTTGAGAAAGAAAAATTGTATTCGATTGCGGATAAACCAAACGTGAGTTCTCTAGCATCAGAAGAAGTTTGTTTCCGGCGCGGTGAGTTCAGTCGTGAAGACGTGGTTGGAAAAGTCTTTTCTATAAGGAAACCGATCGCCACTATCGTTAAACCACACGGCCGGGTATTCCCAGAAATTAGCAGGGGAAACACAATCCATGTTAGCCCTAGTCTGGATTGTATCGCTAGAGGCATTTCTACTACAAAAAGGCAACAGGCTAAGAAACTAAATCACAATCTAACTGAGCGCAATGACGCTAATCGTGATGGCAAAATTCGTGGTAGTACCAGCCAAGGTAGTATTACCTATGGTAGCAAAAACTATGACAGCATTCTCCAGGGTAGCACTATCCAAGGTAGCACCAGCTATCAAAGTAGCCGTTTGGAGCATGCTGTACCCAGTATGTTACCAGCACAGTGGCACCAAATCAACACGAATGAACCCAAAGCGGATCTAATTCTGAACTCTAGACCTACAAGAGAGATCCTTAGCCGAACCAACACTCATCCATCAAGGCAACAGTCCCAGTTGGGCAAGAAAAAGACTGTTAGCTTCAAAACCTGCAGCGAAAGGCTTGACTACGACACAATCCAAACATCGCCTACCAAACCACAACCATCAAATTCAATTTCAACCAAGGCAAGTGAATACCGTAACGGTAGCGATAGTTCTACGTGTGTATATAACAAACAATCTGCTAGAAAATCAACATTATATCAGTCAAAATTAGTCGCCGCAATGTCGAATTCTGGTGAAGACATCAAATATCAACACCGTAGTGAAGAACATAATACACGTGAACTCCCAATCAAAGACATACACAAACCGGATATGTGCTTGAGTATATGTCAGGTTGACCCTAGCCGAGATTATGTTGTCATCAAATCTTGGCCCAAGAAAAAATTTAAGCGTCGCGCAATAGAAAAATCGAACTCAGCTGAATGTTTGGATGTCGGTTTCATCGACCCAAGTTTTGAATCCCCGGCAGATGAAGAGAAACAGAAGAAGATTGAAAAACACAATTCTCGTCACCGCTCTAGTTTTCTACGTCGTACAACTCGACTCGACAACTTTGATCGCGATGCTTTAGTTAAAGAGCCGACAATATCGACTACATCAAAAGTTAATTCACCTTCTCGACCTAAGCGATATAGAAGCAGCTCTAAGGCTAGAAAACCCTCGAACAAGGAACATTTAAAACGGATGATGCCTAACAAACACTCTAATCCTAACCCCACTCGACGCAATGTTGTTCTTTACTATAAGACTAACAAACAACATCTTACAGAAACCTCCAAGAAATTTAACTCCAAATCTACGGCGTTTTCTGACCGTAACCATAGCGACGTGAACGTCAACTGCATGGCAGGCAAAGCGTCTCCTACGGAAACACGACCTCCCAAACCAGGAGATTGCTACGGTCACTATGGTCGCAACATCAGCCGCAACTGCCTGGCGGAAGAACTAGAAAAGTCCAAGGTGATGCTGGCTGAAGTGGGAGAGTACCCGGATAGCATGGACAGATACGTGCCGAGAGAGATGATAACTGTAGGGACTTCAGACATGGAGGTGCTGGTAGTACTGTCTCCGTCTCCAAGTGACATCATTTCCGTTCTTAGTGGCCAGACAGCCGCCCCTCCAGCTAGGGCACCCAGGCGACGCTTTACGAAACACTCTTTGACAGGTACTGTCTGACTCCATATTTACAGTTACTGTCTCTCCATATTTGACAGGTACTGTCTGACTCTATATTTGACAGGTACTGTCTGACTCAATATTTGACAGGTACTGTCTGACTCCATATTTTACAGGTACTGTCTGACTCCATATTTGACAGTTACTGCCTGACTCTATATTTGACAGTTACTGCCTGACTCTATATTTGACAGTTGCTGTCTGACTCCATATTTGACAGTTGCTGTCTGACTCCATATTTGACAGGTACTGTCTGACTCCATATTTGACAGGTACTGTCTGACTCCATATTTGACAGGTACTGTCTGACTCCATATTTGACAGGTACTGTCTGACTCCATATTTGACAGGTACTGTCTGACTCCATATATGACAGTTACTGTCTGACTCCATATTTGACAGTTACTGTCTGACTCAATATGTGACAGGTAATGTCTGACTCCATATTTAACAGTTACTGTCTGACTCCAGATTTGACAGTTACTGTCTCTCCATATTTGACAGCTACTGTCTGACTCCATATTTGACAGGTACTGTCTGACTCCATATTTGACAGGTACTGTCTGACTCCATATTTGACAGTTACTGTCTGACTCCATATTTGACAGTTACTGTCTGACTCCATATTTGACAGGTTATGTCTGACTCAATATTTGAAAGTTACTGTCTGGCTCAATATTTGACAGGTACTGTCTGACTCCATATTTGACAGGTACTGTCTGACTCCATATTTGACAGTTACTGTCTGACTCAATATTTGACAGGTAATGTGTGACTCCTTATGTGACAGGTTATGTCTGACTCAATATTTGAAAGTTACTGTCTGGCTCAATATTTGACAGTTACTGTCTGACTCCATATTTGACAGGTACTGTCTGACTCCATATTTGACAGGTACTGTCTGACTCCATATTTGACAGGTACTGTCTGACTCCATATTTGACAGGTACTGTCTGACTCCATATTTGACAGGTACTGTCTGACTCCATATTTGACAGGTACTGTCTGACTCAATATTTGACAGGTAATGTGTGACTCCTTATGTGACAGGTTATGTCTGACTCAATATTTGAAAATTACTGTCTGGCTCAATATTTGACAGTTACTGTCTGACTCCATATTTGACAGATTATGTCTGACTCAATATTTGAAAGGTATTGTCTATCTCCCTTTTGACGTATCTGACTCCCTCCAATATTTAACAGGTACTCTCTGACTCCTTCCAATATTTAGTAGGTACGACTCAATATTGACAGGTACTTTCTGATACCCCCAAATATTCGACAGATACTGTCGAACACCCTACAAGTCTCTCTTCCCGCGTCTATGCTTTTTACCTCATTTTTCTTGTCTGTTACTATGTCCATTTATGTTATCGGTCGAACTTCGTAGCTCAGAACCTTTTATTCCTGAGAGGTGGCGTAGCGAGGTCGGGTGTCACCCTTTGCGGCACTTAATGGTGTCACCCCCCCCCCCCCCCAGAGGCGTAGCGACAAACTTTCAAATTTTCGATTTGCACCCCCCCCCCTCAAACTTTCGATTTGCACCCCCCCCCTCAAGTATTTCTCTATATATTTTGCTATTTTTTTGCCTTGGTCACCCCCCGTAAATACATGGTGTCACCCGGTGCGGTCCGCACCCCCCGCCCGCCCCCCCCCCCCCTCGCTACGCCTCTGTTCCTGAGCGATGTTTTCTTTTTGTACACGTACACTTACCGCATCAACAGTGACAATGGAATTTAAAAAATTAAGCATTTCATCTCATTAAGCTTGTAGCGTGGGATGATGTAGAGGCGGTGGGTGGGGGTGGGGGGGGGTGAGGTTGATTTGTGTTCTTTGTCTTACGACATGCAGTGCAGGTAGTGCCGACATCCCGTAAATGCCGACAGACTTCTAGTGCCGACAAACCGTTAGTGTCGACAGTTAGTGCCAAAGATGTTTAGTACCAATAGCTCGTTAGTGCTAAAATCCCGTTAATGTCGACAGATTGTAAGTGCCGATAGATTGTAAGTGCCGACAGATTGTAAGTGCCGACAGATTGTAAGTGCTGACAGATTGTAAATGCCGACAGATTGTAAGTGCCGATAGATTGTAAGTGCTGACAGATTGTAAGTGCCGATAGATTGTAAATGCCGACAGATTGTAAGTGCCAACAGTCGTAAGTGTCGTCAAATCGTTAATGCAGGTAAGCATTTAATGCCGACTGACCTTTATTGCCGACAAACTGTTAGTGCCGATTGATTGTATGGGCCTACTTACTTTACGTGTCGACATACTGTTGGTCCCTTTAGACCGTCATCGAACTTATAACCTTGGCTGTCTTGTACCTACAATGCATTACCTGGATCTTCTACTTTGGAGATGCACATATAAAAAGTATCACCTTTCACTAGACATTTTTTTGAGCAGCTCAAACTTCGCTATTGGTCGTCTCACCTTGTGTACTAAGCAGTGGCGTAGCGAGGTCGGGTGTCACCCGGTGCGGCACTTAATGGTGTCACCCCCCAGAGGCATAGCAACCCTTCCCGGAGCCAAACTTTTACATTTTCGATTTGCACCTCCCCCCCACTCAAGTTTTTCTCTATATATTTTGCTATTTTTTGCCTTGGTGTCACCCCCCCTAAATGGTGTCACCCGGTGCAGTCCGCACCCCCCCCCCCCCCTCGCTACGCCTCTGGTACTAAGCTCAACTAGCATTCACATTTATTTTCCCAGACGGCACATCATTCCTATCCCATAAGCCTTACAGACCGGACGAAGACGAGCCCATTATGGTTGGTAAGTTAAACAAAGAAACTCTTTGTGTAAATAGCTGATGTAACGCTTGCTGCAGTCGTAAAGCAAAAAATTTCCATGTCGTTGGTCAAGTTTTGAAAGAACGCATGTATGCTTCGAAAAAAAAAAAATTTGGAAAAAAATTGCGATATGCATCGAATTTTTTTTAAGTTCAAAGGTATTCATTGAAAGTTAGTAAACTGTTAGAAACATGGTGTAGATCCAATGATCTTATTAAAGGGACTGATGGTTCAGAGTTTGTAGAAAATAGTAAAGATATTTATACTTGGTAGATAATTAAAGAAATATCAAGCAAAGTATGCGAATGAATAAACTTGTCTTTTTCTAGCATTCACTTTCACCATATTTTTATCTATTCATTGTTACCATTTTCTATTTTTATTCATTATATACATCTTATTTTCTATTCACTCTCTACATAATAATTTCACACTATTTTCACATCGTATTTTGATTCTGTTTTCACATCGTATTTTCACACTGTTTTCACATCGTATTTTCATACTGTTTTCACATATTATTTTCACACTGTTTTCACATATTATTTTCACAGTTTTCACATATTATTTTCACACTGTTTTCACATCTTATTTTCACACTGTTTTCACATTGTATTTTCACTCTGTTTTCACATCGTATCTTCTCAGTGAAAGCAAAGGGTCGGCATTCAGGTGAGTCATAGTTGCCAGGTAGTTGAATGGACAGGTAAGGAATACATAGGTAAAGTTGCCCAGATGAGCCATAGTTGCCAGGTAGTTGAATGGACAGGTAAGGAATACATAGGTAAAGTTGTCCAGGTGAGTCATATTTGCCAGGTATTTGAATGAACAGGTAAGGAATACATAGGTAAAGTTGTCCAGGTGAGTCATAGTTGCCAGGTAGTTGAATGGACAGTTAAGGAATACATAGGTAAAGTTGTCCAGGTGAGTCATATTTGCCAGATAGTTGAATGGACAGGTAAGGAATACATAGGTAAAGTTGTCCAGGTGAGTCATATTTGCCAGATAGTTGAATGGACAGGTAAGAAATACATAGGTAAAGTTGTCCAGGTGAGTCATATTTGCCAGGTATTTGAATGGACAGGTAAGGAATACATAGGTAAAGTTGTCCAGGTGAGTCATATTTTCCAGGTATTTGAATGGACAGGTAAGGAATACATAGGTAAAGTTGTCAGGGAAAACAAAGTTACCTGTCAGGAGCGAAATACTTCACTATAATGTGCTACATAGGTAACTTATGAGCTACATAGGTAACTTATGGGCTACATAGTTAACCTATGAGCTACATAGGTAACTTATGGGCTACATAAGTAACTTTTGGGCTACATAGGTAACTTGTGGGCTACATAGGTAACTTATGGGCTACATTGTTAACTATTTTGGGCTACAAAGTTAACTATTATGGGCTACATAGGTAACTTATGGGCTAAATAGATATAACTATTATGGGCTACATAGTTAACTGTTATGGGCTACATTGTTTACTATTGTGGGCAACATTGTTAACTTATTGGCTACATAGATTATGGGCTACATAGTTAACTATTATGGGCTACATAGTTAACTATTATGGGCTTAATAGTTAACTATCATGGGCTACAAAGTTATCTATTATGAGCTACATAGGTAACTTATGGGCTAAATAGATAACTATTATGAGCAACATTATTAACTATTATGGGATACATAGTTAACTATTATGAGCAACATTGTTAACTTATGGGCTACCTAGATTATGGGCTACATAGTTAAGTGTTATGGCCTAAATAGTTAACAATTATTTAGTTACACGTTAGTAGCACCTAGGGAGGTAGGGGTGGTCGGGTCGGTAAATATCAAATTTGCTAAACTGAAGTGTCCCCAGTTTGAATCTCCTGAAAACCCATCTAGGAGAGAAAACTCCAAAATAAAATTAAAAAAAAAAAAAAATCTGCTGCCTTTTGGTTTATTCTTGGATGGAGAAAGGCTATGGAAGCAAATCTAGAAAGAAAAGCAGACTGAAGTTTACGGTCCATGTAGTGAATAAGATGTTGGGGGGTCATCCATAAATGACGTCACGCTTTTTTGACGATTTTTACCTCCCCCCCTCCCCTCCGTCACACGTCGTCACAAAAAGTCAGACCCCCCCCTAAAATGACGTCACACCTCAACCTACACCCCCCCCCCCTCAAAATTGCAGTTGAATTTTTTTAAAACATCGATATTTTTCCAAAATCTTGTATAAACTATTACAATTTATTAAAACAGTTATCTAAAACGCGAAATAACGTCTACAATTCGTTTTCTAACATTGCTTTTTTATAATGCAAAAATGTAACGTCGCAACATCTGAACCCCCCCCCCTCCCCCTCATCACACATCGTCACAAAATTACGGACCCCCCCTCCCCCTTACGAGTGTGACGTCATTTATGGATGACCCCTTGACACATGATACTTAATTGTGTTGGAGGAAATCTTCTTACAGTTAAGAACAAAGAAGAAGGACCAACAAATTTAACAGCTAGGAAAGAAATATTAAGACAGTAAAGGGCTATTTCGTTAACTTTATCAGTAGTAGGTAGAATTTATTAATTTTGACAGTAGTTCATTTGATTACATTTACCAAAAAAAAAATAATGCCCCAAATTGTAACATTCGAGCTTCACAATTAATGATATTATAATTTTACCGTGTTAACATGATACATTACATTTTTAGAATACAAAGAAAAGACAACTGGAGGTCAGTATTTCATTATTTTGTTTCATTTGTTTCTAATTTTTCAAAATTTAGATTTAATTATCATTCAACTTATTATTGAATTATTGAATTCAAATAGGCTAAAATTACAACAACAAAAAATTAAAAAATTTAAATTGTTTTTTTTTTTAAATGTGAAACGTGGTGTCTAGAGAGACGTAGAGTGACAGAGAGGCAGACTGGGAGAGAGAGAGAAGCAGACTGGGAGAGAGAGAGATAGAGAAAGAGAGGCAGTTAGAGTGAGAGAGAGAAATAATAGTAATATAAGCACGATATTCACTACAAGTGGGGGTTTTTTTCCAGACTTTTCCTCCGGTGGGGGTGGGGTGGGGGGCACTTGAAACATTCGAGGGGGGCGGACTCAATTTTACGGGGGGGGGGGCGCGGACAAGGTTAATAGTACATATTTTCTTTATAAATTATTTTTTTGTTCGGGGTGGTAGATGTGCTTTGGGGAGGGTTGGGGGTGCGGTGAATGCAACACTGCTCACTACAACACGGTGTTGTTTACATTTGGGATAAACTGTACAGCGATGCCACTGTTGTTTTGAAAGACAGAAACAATCTCTACTTTTATATTTATCAACCAATCTCTACTTTTTTAGTTATCAAACAAACAATCTCTACTTTTTTAGTTATCAAACAAACAATCTCTACTTTTTTAGTTATCAAACAATCAATCTCTACTTTTTTAGTTATCAAACAATCTCTACTTTTTTAGTTATCAAACAAACAATATGTACTTTTTTAGTTATCAAACAATCTCTACTTTTTTAGTTATCAAACAAACAATCTCTACTTTTTTATGTATCAAACAAATAATCTCTACATTTTTAGTTATCAAACAAACTTGCATGTTCATAAAATATTGCCACCCAGAAGACACCCATCACCAAACGAAAACTCTAATACTCCCGTGTTATGTCTGAGGTAACATACAAAAAAATTGTGACGGTGTGGTCGAGTGGTAGAGCATACGACTGCTAACGCGGGTTCGAATCTTTATATAGATCTGGGGACCATCCAGATCTGATGGGTACCTGTACTCACGTTAGGGAAAGTTACGACGCCTGGACATTATGCTGACCACACTACCCCTTTATATGCCGAGCTCACTGAAACAGGTGAACTCTACTTCACCTGGACCGTCAGGATAAAAAAGGAGCTAAGACACCAGACAACAAGAAATGTGACGTTTTATTTGTGCTTACATCATATTCATGTCCCAGAGTCCACTCAGTTTTAATGCGTACCTGTACACAACCGACCACAAAATATTAATATTCTGGTCTATTTTCTAAACGGTCCGTACGTTGAGCTTGACTTAAAGTGCTATATACAAATGTGACATTTGACTTGAATAGCTATGTGACATTTGGCTTGAGCAGCGATGTGACATTCAGGCTTGCGTGTCGCATGACTGTTCATCTAAGTTCATGTCTTGCACCTACAGCCAAATCACAGCCCATAAAACAAGGGAAGGCTATCGGCAGCGTTTCGCCCGGGACTTCAGGGTTAGGTAAGTTAAAGGAGGCATACTAAACCATCCTTCCATCACTTCGACCATCCGAACCATCATTCACACAATCATCAACCGAACCATCAATCAGACTTTGCATATAAACATTCATACAAACAACGTAACTATCCACCCAACAGTGTATGGATCTATCCAGCTTCTCATCTATCTATCCACCCATCCATCCGACCATCCGAATCATCTTCATACAAACATCAACGTAACTATCCACCCAACGATCTATGGATCTATCCAACCATCATTCTTTCCGCCATCCAACCCATCTTTCAACCATCCTTGAACAAGCTGTACAACCATCCATCAACTTATTTATCCATCAAATAATGTATTATCCATCAAACAATGGATTACCCACCACACATGGATTACCCATCAAATAATGGAATATCCATCAAACAATGGATTACCCATCAAACAATGGATTACCCATCAAATAATGGATTATCCATCAAACAATGGATTATCCATCAAACAATGGATTACCCATCAAACAATGGATTACCCATCAAATAATGGATTATCCATCAAACAATGGATTATCCATCAAACAATGGATTATCCCTCAATTTATTTTTGTCCTCTCACATCTCCACCAGCTGTTGAGCAGACCGAGAAAGCAGGCAAGCTTCACCCCACTGATTTAGGTGAGTATTTCTTTTATCTCTTGAACTATCAAATGTTTCTTTTATCTCTTGAACTATCAAATGTGTATTGCAAACACGATCCTAAGTAAATCTATATATATAATTCTCTTCTTGGAGACGTTAGAAAACAAGCTGTAAGCGCGCCTTGCAGTCCCCTCTCTTCCTCTCTAGGAAGTCTGGTGAGCTGTGGTTCACGCTAAATGTTTATAATCATAGAGCCAGGTTTAGTGACGGCTATTAGGGGCAGATAATTTAGTTTAAAACGTGTTTAAACTTAGGGGAGGTAGCTAAGAGGAGGCTGCTTTCAGGGGGGGTTAGGGGGGAACAGGGCATTTCCCCCCTGTCAATTACCCCCGGATATTTCCCCCCCCCCCCCCGATATTACCCCCCAGAGTAATTACCCCCCCTGTCAATTACCCCCCTGTCAATTACCCCCCGCCCAGTAGGACATTACCCCCCACCCCCCGGACAGAGTTAGGGTTAGAGTTAGAGCTAGGGTTAGGGTTAGAGCTAGGTTTAGGGTTAGGGTTGTGTCTAGCTTTGGTTTTGGTTTTGGTTTTGTGTGAAGTTTTAGGCTAAGGTGGATGCTTAGGTTTTGGTCTTTTTCTTAAGGTTTGGATTAGAGTAGTATATAGGGATAAAATTCTAGTTAGAGTTAGGATTTTAACTTGAGAGAGGGGGGGGGGTAATTGACAGGGGGGGTAATTGACAGGGGGGGGTAATTGCTCCGGGGGGTAAATACGAGGGGGAAATGTCCGGGGGGGGGGAATATCCAGGGGGGTAATGTCCTGTAGCCTATTAGGGGTTGGGGGAAAAGGAAGGGGGGGGGGTTATCGTCCTTAACGACTTACTGATAGTGTTTTTTAAGCAATTATTTTCAGTGACAGCAGCGGTACTGTCGAATTCACAAATTATGAATTACTGAAAAGTAGAAAATAAAACAACTAAATAGCGGCGTATGTTATGCCGCGGGTCGGCTCGTTGTAATTATTCGTCAAGTACTGGTTACAACCGATGCAAGAGATCGAATTTGTTCTGTTCTATGTTCACAGGTAGACAGCCGTCAAGAGCAGGTAAGGTTTTGTTTTTAAATATTTCAAGTAATAAATCCATATAGCCTTCACTGCCCGGTATAAACTTAGCCTTAGATACCTAAAGAAATACTATATAGTAAGTAGGTTTTTGTTTTTTAAATATTTCAAGTAATAAATCCATATAGCCTTCACTGCCCGGTATAAACTTAGCCTTAGATACCTAAAGAAATACTATATAGTAAGCAGGTTTTTGTTTTTTAAATATTTCAAGTAATAAATCCATATAGCCTTCACTGCCCGGTATAAACTTAGCCTTAGATACCTAAAGAAATACTATATAAGTAAGTAGGGTTTTTTGTTTTTAAAATATTTCAAGTAATAAATCCATATAGCCTTCACTGCCCGGTAACTTAGCCATAGACCTAAGAAAGCTAGGTTAAATTTCAATAAATCATAGCCTTCACTGCCCGGTATAACTTAGCCTTAGATACCTAAAGAAATACTATATAGTAAGTAGGTTTTTGTTTTTAAATATTTCAAGTAATAAATCCATATAGCCTTCACTGCCCGGTATAAACTTAGCCTTAGATACCTAAAGAAATACTATATAGTAAGTAGGTTTTTGTTTTTAAATATTTCAAGTAATAAATCCATATAGCCTTCACTGCCCGGTATAAACTTAGCCTTAGATACCTAAAGAAATACTATATAGTAAGTAGGGTTTTGTTTTTAAATATTTCAAGTAATAAATCCATATAGCCTTCACTGCCCGGTATAAACTTAGCCTTAGATACCTAAAGAAATACTATATAGTAAGTAGTGTTTTGTTTTTAAATATTTCACGTAATAAATCCATATAGCCTTCACTGCCCGGTATAAACTTAACCTTAGATACCTAAAGAAATACTATATAGTAAGTAGGGTTTTGTTTTTAAATATTTCAAGTAATAAATCTATATAGCCTTCACTGCCCGGTATAAACTTAGCCTTAGATACCTAAAGAAATATTATATAGTAAGTAGGGTTTTGTTTTTTAAATATTTCAAGTAATAAATCCATATAGCCTTCAATGCCGGGGATAAACTTAGCCTTAGATACCTAAAGAAATACTATATAGTAAGTAGGGTTTTGTTTTTAAATATTTCAAGTAATAAATCCATATAGCCTTCACTGCCCGGTATAAACTTAGCCTTAGATACCTAAAGAAATATTATATAGTAAGTAGGGTTTTGTTTTTAAATATTTCAAGTAATAAAGTAATAAATCCATATAGCCTTCACTGCCCAGTATAAACTTAGCCTTAGATACCTAAAGAAATACTATATAGTAAGTAGGGTTTTGTTTTTAAATATTTCAAGTAATAAATCCATATAGCCTTCACTGCCCGGTATAAACTTAGCCTTAGATACCTAAAGAAATACTATATAGTAAGTAGGGTTTTGTTTTTAAATATTTCAAGTA